ACAGAGAGAGACAGAGAGAGACAGAGAGAGACAGAGAGAGACAGAGAGACAGAGAGAGAGAGTCAGTTCACATAGTAATATTTATTACCAGATAGTACATTTTTTTAAATTTCGTGGTAGTAGCAGAAATATTCTGCTAATCCATAATGATAATAAGGATCCATAAGTTATCCACCATAAAGGTTTACAAAATATAATTACTAATATATAAAATATATTTTATTAAACTCTTTAGTTGATATCTCTTGGATTCTTAGTATCAATATACTACATTTTGCAGACGTTGGCATTATTTAAAATACTCTAGTGGCCAACTTTGTAACTAATACCCCCACTCCACCCGAAATCGTCATTCCATCGATCAAGAAAAGTTGCCCGAGTAATATTAAATTAAAGACTTTTTCGAAAGAAGATTTTTGTTTTCTGTAAGAGTGTCATTAACAAGGAACGCGGAAAACGAGAACAAGGTAAACATGCGTAAGGTAAATACGTGAAACGTGTGGCAGTCATGTGTAGTCCCACACGACACAGACGTTTAAAAAAATGGGGCCACATGTTTATTCAGGTTAGATAAAAATGATGAAATATTAAGCCAGAAACATCTGATGGAAAGTATTGTTGATATTTTGTTTTTCTCCAAAAATGTGTAACAACACAGCTAAATTATGTCATTTTCGTTTCATTTAGTTATGTTATTTTCACAAATAAGCTTAATACCCCATGAAAATATAAAGGTATTTACGATTTCAATGAGCACATATTTTAAATTACTATTTCACTTGGGAATAATTTTGAGCGGGTGCGATTCTTTTTCAAAATCGGAAAAATCTAATCAGAATAATGCCAAAATGATTGAACGTACGCATAATGAAGCTACTTTTACGTCCAGAAGCAAAACAAGGGCAGCATTTGTATTTGCTTAATGGATCAGGGAAACTGGACGAAAACCTGATCGAGATTTCAAAATGTACTATTGCTGTCGTTTTGAATAGCAGCGAGTCGAGATATATACACAAATATGTGACAAGACTTTGGATCTGACAACTTCTTTTTTGTGTGTGTGCGCCTGATTCCTGATAGAATTTCGAAAAAAGTGTAATTTTAAGCTGCTTTCGGTAACGATTAATCGAAGATGAAATAGAATCTTGGTACTATTAACTCAGCTATATTTTGCAAAAATTCTCGTTTCCAAATTGATTGATGCTACCTTTACATGATGTTAATTTTCTAATATCTTGCTAACCAGAGATACAGGAAACTAGCCTTGTCGATAAATCCGTCGACAACAACTCGCTTGTGGTGAACGTTTATGCCTGAATGACCTTCAAGCAAATGTGCGCAGGTACGGCGGGGACGACGCCACCGGGTCGCCGCCGCTGTCGGGCATGGCGCTGCTGCGCTCGGCCGGCCAGCTGCTGCGCGAGCGGAACCAGCAGCTGCTGCTGCCGCTCACCTTCTGGCTGGGTCTCGAGAAGGCAGCCATCGCGGCGGACTACACCAACGTGAGCACACGCAGCAAACAGGAATAGCGCAAAGGCTGTCATTAATTAAGGTTTCCGGGCACGTCAACTGCTAAAGATCGTTAGGCTCATAAGTGTAGTGCATGTTTTTATCGCGGGAGATGTCGGTGACCTTCCTCCGCTTTAATGACGAGATCCGGCGCTGTCGTACAGTCGACTTGCGGGGTTCTCCCCAACCAAGTATCGCCCATCATGAGGGATACGACCGCGTTGGGACAAACTCTATGTCCCCGACTGGTTTCTTGACATTTGTAGTAGTGTAGAGCATGAAAGTGTTAGTGTCTGTAAATAAGGGGTGAGGTAAGAAAGGGGAAGGAAAGATAGCCTGCGGTCCATGGCTCTTTTGTTAGGGTACTGACCGGACATTCGTCTGGTACCGAGCCGCCGGCCACTAGAATTCTCCTCTGGACCGCAGCTGAATTTGACATAGCTACCTCGCTTCCTAGTGACAAAAATCCTGTCACCGCTACGACTCGAATTTCATTGCTTGAAGCATTACGGATGAGCAGTCTGTACATCTTTCCACGTCAACTGACAACCCACACTTTGACACAAGCAATACCCTGATGCAAGCAAAGTGACGTTTGACTGTCGGGAAGCTGTCTAAAAACTGTGCGGGATATCAAAGGGATCTTGTCACGAGATTTTGACTCACAAACTGAATACCGCGTTGCTGCTAAATTTGTGCTCATGTTAGTATGTAAATAATATAGTAAAACTTATTCAGAGTGGAATTTCAAGTAGCGATTTTTTGCCGATTTACACAACATTACGCATCAAGCAATGTAATATTGTAGAATATATTGTGTTTGGCAGGACCGCGGTTTATGTTCATATTAGATTTCCGCAGTATGCATGTTCCCCATTGAGCAGGTCTTACTGTATGACTATATTAAGCTGTTCACCTGGCGCGGCAGGCGTTCGTGTCGTGCGCGTGGGGCATCCGCTACATCGGCTACGTGATGATCTGCTACGGCGCGGCCAACTCGGCGGCGGCGCTGGTGGGCGGCTGGGCGGTGAAGGCGACCGGGCGGCCGCCCGTGGTGCTGACGGCGGCCGTGCTGCACTCGGCGCTGCTGCTGGGGCTGCTGCACTGGCGGCCGCACCCCGACGACGCGCCGCTCTTCTTCGCCCTCGCGGCCGTCTGGGGCGCCTGCGACGGCGTCTGGAACGTCCAGGTCAACGGTCAGTCCAACCACCAAGCGCACGCACGCGCAGCTCGCTCGCCCGCAAGCGATTCCCTCAGTAATCCCGCAAGCGTAGTGCATGTCTGGGGCGCCTGCGACGGCGTCTGCAACGTCCAAGTCAAGGGTCAGTCCAACCACCAAGCTGACGTACGCGCCGCTCACTCGCTCGCAAGCGATTCCCTCATTAATCCCGCCAGCGTAGTGCATGTCTGGGCGTCTGGGATGGTATCTCGTACGTCGAAGTCAACGTCTGTCCAACCATTAAACACACGCACGCGCCTCTCGCTCGCTCGCAAGCGAATCCTTCCCCCCCATTTATCCCCCAAGCGTAGTGTCTGTCTGGGGCGCCTGCGATGGCGTCTAGAACATCCAGAACGACGGTCAGTCCAAACACCAAGCGCACGCACGCACTGCTCACTCGCTTGCAAGCGATTCCCTCCCCCCGTTTATCCCGCAAGCGTAGTAAATGTCTGGGGCGCCTGCGACGGCGTCTGGAACGTCTAGGTCAACGGTCAGTCCAACTATTAAACACACGCACCCGCCGCTCGCTCGCTCGCAAGCGATTCCCTTCCCACATTTATCCAGCAAGCGTAGTGACTGTCTGGGCGCCTGCGACGGCGTCTGGAACGTCCAGGACGACGGTCAGTCCAATTATAAAGGACACACACGCGCCGCTAGCTCGCTCGCAAGCGATTCCCTCTCCTCTGTTTATCTCGCAAGCGTAGTGTATGTCTCTATCTTCAATCATGTAAATGGAAGAGGCGAATCAAAAAATATTTCTTTGAAAAACTTTTCACTTTAAGAGGAAGAGGGAAATGGATTTAGATTGTTGTGGAGTGGATTGGTGGGAAGATCTTTGTTTCCTATTTTGGTTGACAGTTTTTCTTTTTCAATGTATTCAATGAATTATTTTAGGCAAGAGCAGCTGGAGTTTCAATTATTGGCCTCGTGGCTACCATGGTAGTTACGACACTATGGTACTTGATTATGATTACAAAAAGTTACCGAGTAGTGATACGAGTAGCTAATTAATTAAAGCTTAGCTAATTGAGTGACTGCAATTATTCTTTGTATGGCCATAATTCTTTATTGACTCTTGTCCTGAAAAAACATCTGCAACTACTGGGATAGGTCTGTTTTCTTTGTGAAGTGGTCTGGTGATTTTTACCAGCGAAGGAAAGCGTTGTTTTAGGTCTTGATATATTTTTTAGTCATTGATGGATTGATTGACGTTCTTCGATACGACAGATATATTTTTATTTAATGGGTCTTCGAAGGAATGAATACTTCGATGAGTGTTAATTACATACCTGATTAAGTTTCGAAAGTCCGTGGGTGAGTCTGCACTTATTTTTATTTTATGTTGTTTTTTGTGTGTGTTTTTTTAAATCTGCAATGAAGTTTGAGGTGACTTTCGATTTAAGTTCTTCGATGAATGATTTGGTGATATCTGCTACTATGATTGGTGGTAGATTACTGGATATTTCACTTTGATTACTAGGAAGGTCATTGATATAGACGAATCTATTTTCGGTTGCTTACTTATCAAGTTCACTTAGAGAACGGAACCTGTTTTTTTTCACCGGCAAAATTATTAATAGAGTGATTTTGTGTTTTGCTCACTGTACTGTTATTGTTACTGAATTTTTTGCCTTCACGCTCGATATCATTGTCTGTCACTGACCTTTTTCTGGAGTCTGAGGAGTCTTTTTCTGGTAGTTGAACAGTTGGGGGTTGGCTGAGTTCAATCGGTTCCTTGTCATTGACGGGAGTGTTATGTTTATTGTCACCTCCATGTCGTCTTCGGTGAATTTGGGTTAACTGGGATGAAACTTTCCATTGTAGTCGGCAGGTTCTCATTGTTAAGAACAAGCAAAGCAGCACTAACTACTTCACTTGTTGGAAGGCCATAGCTACATACCATTCACTACATTAATTCACACTGAGTCGCACTTCACCGGAATCATTTCGATGAATTATTTATAAGTAGCACTTGTGTGGTTCACATCACGAGATTATAATTTTGTATTGTCGCGATGCGACCTGTAGCTCCCGGCCACTCCGCTAATGAAGTGGCGAACTACGAAGTAACGGTTTTATCACTACAGACCTGACAGGGTCGCACAGCAGAGCTCTGACTACCTCACGCCACCACTGTCGGACGAAGAAACAAAGAAATAAAGAAACAGAAGGTGATAAGCGCCGCGACAACATACGTAGCGGCGCACTGAGCGTAGTTAAAATTGCATATTCAGAAGAAAGTGGGGATTGCAGACTGTAGTTTTCATCATTATCACGAGAGCACTGAACTACATTACACTATATACTTTTCTTCCGCGACAAATTACATTGTCGCACTGTGTAAACTACAATAAATGTAATCGATTCCTGGTCGACGTGGCTAAAGCTTTGCAAGCACTTACAAGTAAAATTGAAGAAATACGGGTCAATTTTTATTTTTTTAATGAACAAAAATGTTTATTATTGTCACCGCCAATCGTATCAATTATTTAAAATAATTATATATTGCCGAGAACGTTTTGTAATCACGAATCTTCATGAATATTTCTTACGTATGACAGATATTACATAAAGTCATATTAATGTAGCAAGAACATACACGATAAAGGTGGGTAAATTTATTTTTTTAAAGAACTCAACAACCAAGGAAAGAGTAATTGCCAGAAAAAGTCTGCATCTTTATGAAAAAACATGTTTTTTAATAGTTAAGCTTCAGCCCTAAAAGGATGTACACTTTTAAACTGCTTACGTTAAGTTTTTCCAACACTTTGGCCGTTAAGGTTGGTGACCCTCACCCGCAGTTACGCAACCAATGAGTTAAAATTAAAGAAATGTCATAAGTCTTATCAGCATCGACTGGAACCGCCGCGGAGCGAAACAACGCTTTTCTCACCGTCCCTCCTCGCCTCTTCCAACTCCACCGACACTCCCTCCGACACCTGCAATACATAGCCGCCACAACACCATCGTCACCGCCATTTTGAACGTTCCCAACTCCACTTCCACTCCATCAACTGTTTGCCGCCGTCGATACATTCTCTCTCCACTATCCTCTCTGCGGTCCAGCCCCGAGCGTCATCTTCACCGTCCTCGTTTCCGCTCCCGCCTCAGCCCCACTTCCTCCTTCAGCCCCATCGCCCATCCCCTGCCAGAGTCTGCCACCACGACTTCCTCCTCAATCCCCATCGCTCCCCGCTGCTTCCCTATCCACCATGGCTTCCTCCACCATCGCCATTGCCCTTGCCAGTCCGCCGCCGCGGTACCTCATCCATCGTCATCGCCCCAACCTGCCAGAGTCCGCAGCCATCGCCCCTCCCCCTGTCAGAGTCCGCTCCCCTTCCTTCATCATCGCCCCCAACCTGCCAGAGCCCACCGCCACGACTTCCTCCTCCATCGCCATTGCCCCCAACCTACCAGAGTCCACCGCCACGATTTCCACCTCCATCACCATCACCCTTCTCCTGCCAGAGTCCGCCACCGCGGTACCTCATCCATCGTCATCGCCCCCAACCTGCCAGAGGCCGCAGCCATCGCCCCTCCCCCTGCGAGAGCCCGCTCCCCTTCCTTCATCATCGCCCCCAACCTACCAGAGTCCACCGCTACGATTTCCACCTCCATCACCATCACCCTTCTCCTGCCAGAGTCCGCCGCCGCGGTACCTCACCCATCGTCATCGCCCCCAACCTGCCAGAGGCCGCAGCCATCGCCCCTCCCCCTGTCAGAGTCCGCTCCCCGTCCTTCATCGCCATCGGCCCCAACCTTCCAGAGTTCCACCGCCACGACTTCCTCCTCCATCGCCATCCCCCCTCCCCTGCCAGAGTACACCCCCGTTCCTTCATTGCCATCGCCATCGCCCCCAATCTGCCAGAGCCCGCCGCCATCGCCCCTACCCCTGCCAGATTTCGCTCCCCTTCATCATCGCCCCCAACCTGCCAGAGTGCACCTCCACAACTTCCTCCTCCTTGGCCAGCTCCCGTCCCCTGCCAGAGTCACTCCCGTTTGTTCATCACCATCGCCCCCAACCTGCCAGAGTCCACCGCCTTGACTTCCTTCTCCATCGCCATCGCCCCTCCCCTGCCAGAGTCCGCCGCCGCGGTGCCTCATCCAACGCCATCGCCTCCAGCTACCAGAGCCCCGGCCACTGCCCACCGCCGCCATCGCCCAGCTTTACGTCACCGGCGGCAGCGTCGTGCGCGGGTTCCGCCACGAGGCACTAGTGCGGGGCAGCGGGGCGCAGTACTAATCGGCTTTTAATACGTTTTAAAGTGCCGAGTCTGGCTTCCGGCAGTCTTGGGCGGGCGCGCTCGGTCTCACAGAAGACAGATAGCGCACTCTGATAGGCCAATGCGGTCACGTGGATGGACGCGAGCCGATGTCGTTTACTTCGCGACCGTTGGCTGTTTGTTCGTATAATTGCCCGCGGGACCTTGCGTAGATCGACTCACTAGCGCCGACAGGAAGTTATTGTTAGTGAATATGTGAGGAAGCCGGTGGAGAGACGGTCAATGATACAGATTTTATCGAATTTTGTCCATTCAAGTCCTTGTCGTCCAGGACTTCCGATTCTCATGACTGTCATGGATAAAGAAGTAAAGTATATGATAATGTTTTTCGTAACCTGCAGGAAAAAGTAACTATATGACATTAAGGTTTTTCTATTATTGCCTTCTAACATCAACTGTTTGAATTTCGTATAGACCTACGGAAGTCCTGAGCGAGCAATCGTTCTGGCTGATGTCGCGGCCCCTGGCTTTCGAATATTCGATATTTTAATTTTGGGGAGTTCTTTACATGAAGCCCCTAGGACGGCTCCAAGTTTTTGATTAAATTTTGTCGTTGGCGAAATGCGTGTGCGAATGACGTTTAAAAGAGTGGTGCGGATCTCATTTCTTACTTTTCACTATTCTCACTCTCTTCGCAAATTTTATATTACACAAATTTACTCGGTGAAAAGATTTGCAAAAAAGTTAACGTCAAAAAAATGATTAGGGGCTAGTCAATAAAAAGATTTTAAATGGGACTGCTTTTAATTAAGGAAAGTTCATTCAAGATAGAACAATTAGTATTTTTGAAAAGTTGTAAAATTTCCAAGTTCTCCAAAATGTTCATTTTTTTGGCTTTGTTGCGAAGTGAAGGATTTTAAAATTATAATTAGGGTCAAAGGAATAGTTAAATTGAATCAAATGATTGTCTTTGGTCAGGAACTTCTACGCAATTGAGCCAGTTCTTTGATTTTCTTAATTCATTTCACCCCAATTTAAATTCTCTATAGAGATTAAAGAAATGATTATGTTCAATGTCTTTGATTTAAACATTACTATTATAAACTCTAAACACAATTTCAAAATATTCAGAAATTCCACTCATACAAGTTCAATCATCCCTTCCCATTCCAACCACATTCACTATTATAAATTTCCTGTTTCCCTTCCTGGATCAACAGACTATTCAAGGCTCCTATGACAAATAATACACATTTTAATAATGGAGTCAATACCATTCTAACCATTGCGTTAAATAATATTTATGATCCTCTGTCCATCAATAAACTTATCTACCAAAAAGGTGCAAAAATTATTTTGAATAAAGTTTTCCTCAACATTGCCCTGTAGAACCTAAGATATTCATTTGCAGCCCTTACATAGGGCCAGTATCTAAAGGTATAGGCCAATGCTTCACTAAACACAATATTTCAGTAGCTTACAAAACTATAAACTCCCTCCAATCTTTATTCCTCAGTTCCAAATCACCTATCCTCCCCAATGAAAGAAGTGGCATTTATCACCTTACTTGTAATAACTGTGATTCAGCCAATGTAGGCCTAATGGGCAGAAACAGTTAACAATTTCAGTTACAATTAATGAACATATTAGATGTTGGGAACAAAATTTGGACACTTCCGCCTTTGCCAATCATTTGATTCAATTTAACCATTTCTTTCACACTAATTATAATTTTAAAATCCTTCACTTCGTCAACAAAGGCCAAAAACATGAACATTTTGGAGAACTTGGAAATTCTACAACTTTTCAAAAATACTATTTTTTTCTGTCTTGAATAAACTTTTTTTCATTAAAAGCAGTCCCATTTTAAATATTTTTATTGACTAGAATCATTCTTTTGGCATTAATTTTTTTTCGAATTTCCTCACCTAGTCAACTTATTTAAACTATGTTCTTTTTGTAATTTAAAATTCTAGAATTTTTCAAATTCCTTATTTTCTGTGCTGTATTAACATTCCCGAATGAAAAGCAGTCAATTTTCAATCTGTTTATGACTACCCCTTCTACTCTTCTGGTTCCCCTCGTCCCACAACTGTTACGTTTTTTCATTTCTCCATTCCAAAAGGTGACTGCAACCTAGTCGTACCAGAAGTTTTCGACTTTTTCCGATCATGACGTGAACATTTGTATGTAATCCACGTTGCTTGGGCGGTATTTTTAATTTTATTTATTATTTATTTTATATTATTTGTGATTTTTTTCACATAAACACACTGTATTCCTTTTTGCTCCCTTTATGTTAATTTTTCAGTTTTCTCCTTCTTGAGAGAGACTCACTGAGGATGGAAAAAGTGGTTTTCCGAAAGTTAATTCTTGTAATGTAATAATTAATAAAGTTATTATACTTTTTTGTGGACGATTATTTGCTTTCCCCACAAGATATCTACTACCACCACGGAATGAGCACTGTTTTACTTATTGTCGCTCCCTCGTAACGTGAAAGTCGTATTCCTAAATATAGTGAATTACTTCCTCTAACATGTCATTTAGTCAGAATGCATGTTTCATGTGTCCCTGATTCTGAAAAATCTCTGTTCGTCGGTCTATGCCTCTGTGATACAAGTACGTGCTTAAACCGTTTTACCGAATGCTTCCAAAATCTATATTCCTCAATTAATATAAAAAACTCTAGGCTGAATTAAGTTTGAAAAAACCTATTTTGATTTTTGGAAGACTTGAAGTAAAATTTTCTCGAAAACTGCACCAAACTATTAGATACTTTGTCCTGGGAGAGCGTAAAAGGTGGTTAAAGAACAGTGCAAGTCTAATGTTAAGTGAAATGCGTGTTTTTTTTTAAATTGCAAAACTTCAGTTTTTTGGCGTGTTCATACAAATAAAATATTAAAGACAGAGATATTTTTTCTGGCAGCAGGTGGCTGGGAGGTGAGAAATCGCGCCGTTCCCAAGTCCCTCGGTTCAAGTGCGGCATGACAATATTGCAAAGGCGTAGAACATTATACATTAAATATAAAATGTAGAATCTACTAGACTCGTGGCCAAGAGTGTGTAATCACATTAAATGTATAAATTAACATGTTGAAATACAGCGAGTTCTAACAATTATTATTATTCCTCTAATTAACGACTAGAGATGTTATGATTGGGTTGAATATTCCAGCTTCCCAAGGAACAGATCTATGGACCATCGATTCATCTACAATATTTTCTTCGAAATATGTGTTGTTCCCAATTCTCCCATCCTCGCCTTTTACTCATATTATAACAATTTACAAATAAATTGATGGTATGATATGATAAATGGTTCCAAATCCAACTTTTATGGGAGATTTGACATGAAATGATCCCATAGTTAACGTTTAATTATTAATTGAATAAGTACACACCATGGCCATATTTAAACCAAATATATTTATTAAGTTGCTAAAATAATTATACAGTAGTCAATAGAATAAACTGCTACACTCACGAGATAACATTGATTTACGCTCACAAAACAAATGAGAATACGACAAAAATGAAATTTTGGTTGACAAAATTCTGCGAAATGTGAAATGCTAGTTTCAATTGTAACTTATTCAAATCTACTTCCGCCAGAGCTAACTTTGTGGAAGTTTTGTCTGTGAATCCGATTTGTTCGAAAGCCAACTTTAGCTCTCAAAGTAAACTTACGTTATACATGATTTAAGTCATGTTCATGAATACGACCCATAAAGGAAGATAGCGCAAAAGTTTCATCAGTATTGGTTCAGTTGATTCAGAGATTATCGCGCTGTAAGTCAACGAACTTCCATTTTTATATATTATTATAGATACAGATATAGCTATAAATTAAAATAATAATAATAATAATAATAATAATAATAATAATAATAATAATAATAATAATAATAATAATAATAATAATGTCGTCCCCGTGGCGCAGACGGTTGCGGCAGCCGTCGTCTGAGCCGAGGAGGCTGCAGGTTCGAGTCCTGCGTAGACATGGTCGTATTTGTGGCCGTCCCTTCACCTATCATCATCATCATCCTATCATCTCATAAGTCACACTTCAAGGCGTAACAACCTTGTTGTAATCCAAGGATACAGCTGAAAAGCTGATCCTGGAAGAATTACACACCTTAATCGTGTAGCGTGGTCAGTAATGGCCTACACGCCAATAATAATAATAATAATAATAATAATAATTATTATTATTATTATTGGTGATATTATTATTTGGTTGAAACTTAAAAATATTTTATTTTTATAAGTTGTTCCATTGCTTCGTGGCTTTGCTCACAGCGATGTGCGGTATCCTCTCCCTGGGCAACGAGAAGGCCGCGTACAGCCTGTTCCGGCTGTGGGAGAGCGCGGGCTACATCCTGGCGTACGGCTACAGCGCGTACGTGTGCGCCGCGCACAAGCTCATCGTGGTGCTGGGGCTGCTGGCGGTGGGCGTGGCCGGGTACGTGGCCATCGAGGTGCGCCTGTGGCGTGCAACTAAGCAGAAGACGGTCGCTCGCGTCGAGTGAGGGCGGTCGACTGCGACCGGCGTCGCGGAGGTGGCCACGGATCGGAATCGCAGATGTCTACAAAGCGGAAGAATCTACGCAGACAGAGATTCGAAGCAGGTCGTCTTCCGGGGAGGACGCAGGAGCTGCAGTTCTTCGTTCATTTATCAACAAAGAAGGGACAAATGTTAATTACTATTCAAAGCGGTAAAGAGACTTTACCTACGAGAGGAAAGTATATTTCTCTGAGAAACACAGTATCGTCATCGTCGTGTGTAATATTGAATTTGATTATTTTTTTTTAAATATAAAATGTTTTAAATGCAAGGTTTCGTGAGGACAAATAGTACCCTGCGCCGCCACCAGAAGCGTGTGCGTCATCATTCCGAGTGCCCAAGGGAGTAGATAAAAAAAATATCACCCGTATGTGTTGAAGAAATGCAGTAGCATGTTATTGGCCATTAATAAGCCTCTTTAACACTGCGAATAAAATAAAGAAGAGATGAAGAAAAGTCTAGCCCAGTTTCTGCCTGTGTGATGAACTTAACAGTTGACGTTTCGTAAAAGTGAACTACAATGAAAGCATCTTTCGATTTTATTGGCTATAAGAACCGAGTGATCAGCGCTTCAAATAAATCTGCGGATTTGTTTAAATTTAAATGCACTTGTATGTGTAATATGCATGAAATATTTACGTTTTCAAAAACGTTCTATTAATGCATATACGTTAATTTTATATTTACATTAATGTTACTGCCTCGAAATTTATTTCCCAACAGATTATAGGACAGTTTAACTCGTGAAAGTGGGACTGCCTAATGATAGACTAGAATAATGTCAGAGGGTAATGCAATTTCAACGTCATATTTAGCATAAACGACGTTTTAATTTTACAAATCACATTCTTAAGTTGCTGAATGCCCTGTTCTGTGATGTAATATTTTGTAACGTTTACAACATTTACAACACATGGTATGATTTTTTTAGTTTCAAGCCAATTATTGAATTAAACAAAAATTTAAGAACCACCATACTAGTATAAAATAATGAAGTTCAGTTAAAGTCTTTAATGTTATACGTCAAATACACCAAGGTAACCTATACTAAATAAAAATGTAAATCAACATGCCCCAAATGAAACATACACAATTTAGAAGATTAGATTGTGAAATAAATTTAGCCAATTGATTGTATCTTTTCTTATATAACTGAATTTCTGTAAACGATTTCAAGTTACTTTGTGTTAATAATCTCTTCCGCCGTCCTTCGAACGGTAGAACCAACCAGATTGCCTCGAAAAGCTGTGGGATCCAATCTCGGGCACGACATGGGTGTTTGTGCCTGTTAATTGAGGCATGAAGTGAAGAACAAACCACCACAAATCCAATTATAGCAACCAAGTGATCCTTTCACTCATAATATCTTAGATACGTTAAGACTCAAACCAACTATAAATTTGAAAACAACCATATTGCATCATTATAACATTGAAATGATTGAATTGTTAATTATATTAAATTTTGTCATTATGTTTTTTTATTTATTATTTACAGAATGTTTACCTTTAGCAAATACTCATAATTAATTTTTATTCTCTTATCCAGGAATGTCAAGGCCGCAGGTAAACTGTCTAGAGTTCGCGGCCCTGTGTCTAGAGTATTTTTTTTTACATTGACATATAGTACAACGTTTAGCCGTCAGGCTCTTCATTTGATTGACCGAGTAGCTTTGCATCAGCAAAGTGTGAAGGGGCTAACTTCTTGTCCCCTCCCTGACAGTGATTTTCTTAGGTTATACCTTCAACCAAAGTTATTGCGAGGGAAATTCGTTGGAGAGCATTGCCCGGGTTTAGAAAGGAACACGATAGGAAAGACACGTGAATGGAAGAAACGTTCTTGCCTTATCTAATGGCGGAGAGATATTGACGGAAAATGTGAAATGGGAATCTGTTTCTTAGCAGGAGAGAGTGGGTTCATCAGTTCATATATCGTGCCTGCTCCTTGTATATGATTTAAATTATTGAAGACATTATGTGCCAGCTTCGTAATAAAGGAAGCAATCGGCTCTATTGCGAGATCGTTGTGATGTGCCTTATTGCTGACCAACCAGAGGGCATTTACTATTATTAAGATTTTGTTTTGAAGGATTTGTAGTTATTTAATGTGGTTGGGGCAGCTAAAATCCATACAGGGCATGCGTAATTTAATGTTGTACGAAGTATAGATTTGTAAATAGTTAAAGAGGAATGAAATTTTAAAGAAATATTGCGTTTGAGAATTGGACTAAAATAATTAAGTATATTGGCTTTGGACGAGATGTCACTGTGCCAACTTAATCTTATATCAATGAGAAGACCGACATAACGAATACATGAAGTTCGAGGAAACCAGGGAATGATAGAAGATTCTAAAGCAGCGAGAAATGACAGGATACCTCAAAGTAAGTACTTTGGCTATTGATTTATTAGAGTTAAGTCTGATTTTCTATAATTTTGGCAAATTTTCAGTTTTTTGTGGCATTTAATTACATAGCATGCTGTGTTTAAGTTTCAGTTTGTATAAAAGAGTAAAGTACCATCTACGAAGAGAGCTGTGTTAATTGTATTACTGGCATGAATATCTGCGACGTACAAATTAAATAAGAAAGAAGCTAATGAGAATACTTGTGGAATACCAGCAAGAACAGCCCGAGGTAAAGAAATGAAAGAGTTAACGTCTTAACTCTTTCATTTCTTCACCTCGGCTGATCCAAAAAGTTCCTACGTGCATCAAATACCACATAGTCACTAAAAGTACCGGAACTCAACTTTTAAGAAAAACGTACTGGCTACTGAAGCGGAAATTAACTATGACATTCAAAAAGAATATTTTTCTATACAAAGTGCAGTTAGTTCCAATTTGGACGTAAGGAATCCTATTATGGGGTACTGCAAGTCATTCGAACATTGAAATCTCACAAAGATATTAATATAAATTACTTCGCATTGCTATAAATGCCTTCTGGTATACTTCCAATGCAATCCTCCATAACGATTTACAAATAAAAATCATTAAAGAAGTAATTACCAATTACAGTTGCAGATATCAGCAGAGGCATGAGAACCACACAAGCTTCCTGGCGCTCAATCTTTTGAATAACAGTCAAGATACCAGACGACTATCAAGACATTCACCTCTAGATCTTAAACTTACATTCAGTTGAGTTGCCACTGGGCAACATCACTGTTATAATTGTAAATTAATTATTTTTGTATGTCCATACACAGGGTTTGAGTAACTCTACGTGTGCGACCTCTTCGCGTTCACAAATAGAGGCATACACTCGTAAGGAGTCATTGGACTTCTAATAGGAAAATAATTTATTTTTGGATCGAACCATAAGATTCTAATAAATTTTCAAAAACATTGTTTTCGTGTTTTGGCGCTGCAATCTTAGTGCTTTTACGGGAATTAAATCAAAGCGATCTAAGTAGATCTATGTAAGTGGCGTTGTTTAAACTCCAGTTTCCAAAGGTAATTTTCACTCCGTACGCAATAATTTTCTTTCACGACGGTGGCAACACTGACGTTGACATCTTTAAGTGATCATCTGAATTATCAAGAGAATATATTTGCGAAAAATTACGATCATTATTACTTTGGAACTCATTAATTTTGGAGAATTTCAAGTGAATACGCAGAAAACAGAACTGTCGGTAATGCTAGAGAACGAATGAAGTTCTTATGTTGGACTTTTCACTTTTACGTTCTTATGTGATCAAATACCGATTTTCAAATGACTGTGACTGCGCCACAATCCACATTCCATTTCCACGTTAAACGCCTGTCGGGGTGCATTCCTATATACAAGGGAGTTCAAATATGACCGGGACTGATTTTTTTTACGAAATACTTTATTAGCAAATTTGTTTATACCATTCATTCTTCAAAGTACTCCCCTCCAGATTCTAACATTTTTTCCAACGTTCTGGAGCATCCTAATGCCCTTTTCATAAAAGTATTTTGGTGTCGGCATATCCACTCCCGAACAGTTGTGATGACTGCGTCATTATCCGCAATCGCATGCCTTCAAATGTGATTTAAGCTGTCCAAACAGTTAAGAAATCATCTTGGGGCCAAAATCTGGTCTGTACGGCGGATGCTTGGTTAGAGGTCCCACTTCACTTTGCTGATTGGTTCCATGTTTTTAGCAGTATGCAGGCCGTGCATTGTCTTGAAGGAATCTTACCGTTTCCCAACAACTCTTCCGTTTGGATCGATCTTTTCTTTGATTTCGTTTACAAAAGTGGCTGAATAATAAGCTGCATTGATGGCTTTTAGCTTCTGTAAGAAAGTCTACATGGAATAACCACCCTTCCAGTTCCCAAAAAAAAGTTTTGCCATCACTTTCCGCCGAACGGAATCTTCCGCGCTCTCTTGGGTTTGAAAGCAGGCGTTCGCTATTCACGTTATGTCTGCTCGACTCAGAATAAAAAATAGTGGAACCCACGTTTCATCAGTTGGTTACAATGACTTCAAAAAATGCATCTCTTCATTTTCAAACCGCATTAGAAGAACACTGGCAGCTTTGCATTGCGCATCAATTTTTCTCGTCCGTTCAAAGTGCTGGAACCCACTAGCATTCACTTTTCTATATATTTAGGTTTTTCATCAGGTCTTTTACACTACCACATTGATGCCAATTACTGCATGCAACTTCTTTGATCGTGATGAGCTTTTGTTCCACAAATAAACCGCATTAACACGGATTCAAGTTTTGTGGGTTAGGATGTTCGCGCCCACATTATTGAGCGTTCATTCTCAACCGCCTCGTCCCTCTCTGAAACACTTCACCATCAAACACACGCGTCCGTGAGAGGGCACCTTCCCTGTTACTGTTTTTGAGTCTCTGCAAATTTCCGACGGATTGAATGTTTTCTCCAACGGGAAATTGATGATTAATGCGTTGTTCCACGCACCGCAGCACCTTTGTTTACTCATCGTTCTAGTAAGACCCAGACTCGACTGAACAGGTTCTAATCTGCCAAAGGAGGGAGGTGGGGTTGTGGCTTAAATTCTCTCCAGGCGGCGCAGGCTAATGCGCATGGCGGGGTATTTGAAAAAAAATCAGTCCCGGTCATATTTGAACCCCCTTGTATTTAACGGAATCCGCCTGTGGCAGTAATTTATCTTTCATTGTAATAGGTGGCAGGTTTTCTTTATGGTAGTGAATCTAAACGAGTGATTTCGTGGTCATTTTTACTTGAGGATGCAATAACTTCATTAACATTCTACGATCGGATTAGAAGAATTTAGGGAACCGGGGGAATTGGGGATAATGAGGGTATTGGGTGTTGAATTAAAATCAAATTTGACAATGTTGATTTTACTTTGCTTGTAAAACATATATTTGAACTTTCAGAATGATGGAATATAATGTCTAATAACTAAGATATAGGAGATGACTTAAAAAATTGTTGAGATGATAGGTTCTGAAGAATCTCACAATTCCCATTCCCCATTCGTTGCTTTCCATTATAAATCCATTGAGATATGAAAGTATATCACTTTAGTTCTATTACTGTAACATGAGAGCCCCACGAGAAGGGGCAAATTTGATGGAAAATTTTCGAGTTTTAAAAGTTATGGAACACCTTAAGTGGTTTTCAACCACATTCACATCTTTAGCATAGAAAGGCGCATATTCATTAGTCTTCAAGTGAAAATTATGTAATCGTGCGGCGGAAAACGACGAATTTTTTTAGTTACTATTTCCGCCAACTTTCCACAGATCTTTGAATGAAAAATGTATTTATAGTATTTTAAGCCATTAAAAGTTTGGTATAGTTAGTTCCTCTTTTGACTGACTCAGTAAATAAGAAGAAATTGATTATAATACAATCAGATTCGTCACGTCAGGCAAATAAGTCATTGTGTTTCCCAAATCAAGAAATTAACCAGTCATGCATTACAAAATGTGAGGTGCATTTTTAAATACGAATCTGAGATAGAACATTTCTGTCAAAGACGTATGAGGGCAAAGATTAATTAAGCTGTAGTGAAAAAGTTCTGAAAACCTAGAGCACAAATCTTAGTATTAAAACTATTTCCAGTCCTGGCCACACCAGTAATAGGTTTGACTTCGATTTTCCAGAATTAGGCATTACGTCAAATATTTCAGTGCTGACTTTGTAACTAATATCCCCACTCTCACTACATTTCTTCAATCTATTAGTCAAGAAAAGTTGCGCGGGAATTTCACGCAATTACGCAATCGTCTGTAAATATGACGTTTTACCAAAAATGTGAAAGTGATTATAATTATTTGGGATGCATGGTTAACGTGGATAGGAGGACTTTGGTGTCTTAGTTCCCTAGAATGTACATTGACAGAACTAGGTCAAATATACATATCAATTACATTTTAAGAAACCGAAGTAGCTTTTGTGTAAACAGTTGTTCCAGAATTTTTAAACCTCCCATTTCTTCTTACATGCGGAAATTACGTACAGAACGGCTTGAAACAATATATTTAATGTTTTCCATTTTCCATGTATTATCCCCGCACGTTGTCTTGATCCCTCATTTTGCTAGATGCAAGGGGAGGGGGGTTTATTTTATTAACAG